GCTTCTCGGTTATTGGCAGCAATTCAGCGATGGAACAAAAATTCTGAAAACATCACGAACTTTCAGGACACCCTAGTGCATCGCTACAGACTACGTATGAACTCTCGAACGTGTTGCTGTTACAGTATTTTGTTGTCGCACCACCGCTACAATCCGTTCTAGCGGGTGCGTTCATACCGTGGTGTGAAGGATGCGGCAGGGACCAGTTTCTGCAAGGAATCTCAATCGTTGGAGCAGTAATCATGCCACACAATCTCTACTTACACTCAGCTTTGGTCAAAGTATGTTGCTTTGCCCCTTCAGATATTACCACATTACTACATAAGGTTCGAGCCCTTTAAAACTACTGAACATACATGAGCTGAGACGAGCTTCCCCCACGGTAGGCGGGGCGTGCGTCAAGGTGAGCGGAGTCAAAGACAAAAGTTCAGGAATAGGTTCCAGTACATCCCAGATAATGAGAAACAAGTTGTAAAAAGTGACTAAGGGATTAGCAAATGGTATGAAGAGATACGTATGCAGTGGTCAGAGCATGAGATGTCTTGGGCAGGACAACGTCAAGGAGTCGGAAATAGTTTTAAGAATATCTCTCAGACCGGGAAACAACGAAATAAGGCGAACGGGTCCAGTTGTCGAGGCGTGCGCACATGTGGGTGGGCTTGAAGCAAAAATTCAGTATGCACTCACAGGGTACTCCAGGGAAGAAGAACTGGGGAAAGGCGAGACGAATGAGGTCAAGTTAAGGTTTGAGTTCTAATCGCATGCTGTGGATCGTTACTGATTTAATCGGACGGTTTTCTGCATGAGTCGCGAAAGGGTGATACTATGGAGTGGGTGGGGTGGAATTTAGCAGTCTCATTCAATTGGTTACGGCAGCGCTTCGTTTTGTCACATGGCCAGCTTCGGCGTGGGAACTAGTAAAATCAGCATTCGAAATATCTCGAAACTTTCCCGAGAATAACTAAGGCCTTTTTCCGTAGCGACCAAATACGAACTCAAGGGGACTCAAGGCCCCATTGGGCCCATAGTCCGTATAGGGGTGGCTCATAAGTAATGGCGTTTTTTCTCATCCGAAATATCGCGCTAAAGACGGAAAGTTCCGCCATGAGTGATTAAGATTTTCAATATCGACCCCGCAGACAACCATCAAACCTGAAGCCCTATGAGCTTCCAACTGCAGAGCGCTCAGCAGAAGTTACCTGCATCATGGGAAGATACCTTCCAAGATTGAGTAATCATCGAGTCCATGGGATGTTCCTTATCATCATTAACCATCACCCTCAGTTGATGTCAGACGTTCAAGAATAAGTGTGCAGGTTCTGTAGGCAGTCCCGTGTGATCCTCTGTAGATAGCCCGCACGCGAAAAAGCCTCTCTTACAAGGTCTGAATCTTGATCGGTTGAACCAACATTAAGCTGTCTTGAGACGTATCTTTCCTTGGTCATTTATATTACAAATTTCGAGCTTCTACTGTAATTTTGGGGCCGAGATAAAGTGCGAAAACTCACTTTTGTGAGACCCGTTACTCCATTTCAATGGAATAAAAATCGGCAGAAAAAGAAACACTAGAAAGACAACTATGCCATCCTGTAGAGCAGAACATTGTCTATCAAGTAGTGCAGCACACATTGGGAACAACTGCCATTCTCCGTATAGAAATTGTGTGAGAAAAACGCCCATACCCATGGGCCACCCCAACAGTTACCCCTGACGGTAGGCTGTTCAGGACTTTGTGACTTCCAGCCGTACTTTGGAATGAACAATCAGAAATTCGGCGAATAGAATTCTTTTTTCAAAGTTTTATTGTTCCTTTTAGTCGCGACGTGTGGATCGCAGCAAGAAGGAACGGGTAGAGGAAGCGAATTTCTACTTTACAGTTGAATCTGCAATTGCTTTGACATGCAGCTTTTTCATAAACGTCTTTGTTGTTGCGGTGTTTGCCCACGGATTTTACGAGAAAACAAACTATGAAGTGGTAAGATTATTTGCTTAGCAGCAGTTGTTCAAGAGAGATCATTCACGACGTGCATTTACTGTTCTTGTATGATGAAGGGGGCAGATGCATGGCTGCGAAACTGACGCCCTCAAGTAAGGCGAAAAAAATTTCACTAATATTTACATCTTCAAGCGAACATCGTAATTTTTATCTTACATTAGACTGTTACTTTCTGATTGTTGAATATTTTAGGCTGACAATGTGATTTGTGCGCGAATTTGCATGGTTTTTATAAGTTGCGCTACTTTGTGAATCTCTAAATACATACTTGATCTGGAAACCAGTTTCACGATTACATAAGTGCAGTGGGTGGTAGTGTTCAGTTATGAACCTGTTGGCGGCGTTAGGTGACTTTCCACTAAAGAAACGAAAACAAAATCCATCGAGGAGGCTCTATTAAGTCATCCCATTCAAGCATAGTGGAGACATATAGAGGAATGGCAGGAAAGCGAAAGGGAA